TTGTTCATTTTTTCTTTTGTTTCCCTTGCCTGGGGAGATATGTTCATGAAGAAGTTCCTCATGTTTATGTCCAAGAGATTTTTGCCTATGCTTTTTTCTAAGAGGTTTATGGTTTCATGATTTACATTCAGGTCTTTGATCCATTTCAAATTTACTTTTGTATATGGGGTTAGACAATGATCCAGTCTCATTCTCTTACATGTAGCTGTCCAGTTTTGCCAACACCAGCTGTTGAAGAAGCTGTCATTTTCCCATTGTATATCCATGGCTCCTTTATCATGTATTAATTGACCATATATGTTTGGGTTAATATCTGGACTCTATTCTGTTCCACTGGTCTGTGGGTCTGTTCTTGAGCCAGTACCAGATTGTCTTGATTAGGCAATTTCATCTTAAAAAATGTAGTTTCATATTCTAAAGAGACAGTTTTTTTCTAAATTATCACCTAGCTGCAGAAACACTTATTTTATTAATATGTGCCTTAGTTAAAAATAACCAAGTGATTGCCATCTTCATCAGAGGGCTTTCTGAAGTGCACAGGTAGTAAGAAAATATGAAATAAAAAAAAAAGTTTTTTAAAATATATTGTGCAGTAGTCAGCCTAGATATTATTAAGTTGCTATTTTTTTAGTGTTTAGCTTGGCTGGACTTTATTTAAGCCTGCTTAGGTTATGTCTGTCAAAGTAAAACATTTAGTAAGTTGACAAAATGATATAGAGGATGTTTATCAGATACTTAACTCATTAATAAGGGAACCAGCAGATGGTAAACCTGGCTTAAAGGAAAATTCAAATATTTGTAGGTATTGAAATGTTGGAATGAAACTCCTGTGTTGAAAAGGGTAACATAGGCCTGACTGCTTATCCTCAGGCGGACCTGCTTACATGGTTGGCCCTTGGCTGGCATCTGGAAACTTAGATTTTAGGAGGTTCCACCATTCCCAGACTGATAAAAGTGGCTTATTATACCTAAACTGTTGGTATAAACAATATGGATTTGTGCTGGCTGCCTGCTTTCCTTCTGGGAGTCTGGAATTTTGGTAAGTGCCAGGGAGAGGCTGCCTAAGCAACCAAGTCCCAGAAGAGCTGGGCACTGAGTCCCTTCACAAGCTTCTGGCTGTCACAGTGCATTGCTGGGGGAATTAAACTCATCCTTTGTGGCTACTGGTAGAGAATTCTTGGAAGCTTACACTTAGTTTCCCCAGATTTCACCCCATGTTCCTCCCCAGATTTCACCCCATGTTCCTTTTTTCTTTGCTGATTTTGCTTTGTATCCTTTAAACTGTAATAAATCACAGCTGTTGAATAGAACTATATGCTGAGTCCTGTGAGTCTTAATAAGTCATCAAACCTAGGAGTGGTCTTGTGAACCCCTGACACAGATATAGAACAGATTAATGGCCTGCAGGGCCATAAAACTACCATCTATGAGTTCTCTTATATACCAAACAAAAATCATTTACAAAAAAAAAACATGACCTGTGTGCCATGTTTCCAGATGCTGGAGTGAATTGAGAGTGGAGAGTAACGTGGCTATTCCAGGGCCTCCTCTGCTGAGATACTGGGAATGGGGATTAGACGAAGAGGAAAGAGTCCCTGCTCATGAGTTTTCTAGGGTTAAACAGAATGGTAATGTTAAAATCTGACTAGAGAGTCATGGTGTATCTGTAGAGGTTAAGGACAGAGAGTATAGAGCTTGGGTTGAAATCCTGTCACCATTTACTAAACCTGTGACTAAGCAATTTACTTAATCTCCTTGTTTTCTTATCTGTTAATTGACACAGTGTAAACCTAGATAATAAATTGTAAGGATTAAAGGAGTACAGTACTTTTAGAATAATGACCCATAAAAGTCACTACCTTTACACTTTTATTTTTATGATGCTCCAGATACAGTCCAGCGAGACTGATAGATAATTTGTGAGGATTTAGGAAGGAAAGCAGAGGTGAGAGAGTGAGTGGGGCTTCTAAAGCTGACTGGATTGGCTTTTCCTAACCCCAAGATCCTAATTGGAGTGTTAGTTGTGTGGTATCCCTTCAAATGTCCAAAGGCTAGTAAAGGGGGGAAGGGGTGCAACTTTCACAATCTAAAGGTAGGAATAGGAAAAGCTATTTTAAAATTGAATCTAGCTTTGCAGGGGGTAACATCACAAATTCCAAATGAGTTTAAATCAGTGAGATTTAGTGTATTCTAGTACGTTGTTTTTTACTTGAGTGTTTTTTTTTCCATTTTTCCCCAAAGCTCTTTTTTTCTAAGACCACTCCATGCCCTGTATTCATTGACATGGTAAATGCTTGAATGGCCAGCAGCCTTATCCTCTAAAGCTCTTGCATTATTTTAAAAGCGACATGCCCCATCCCAACAATCTCAGCCTGTGCGATGGAAAGTCATAAGGCAAATGCCAAAGGAAAGGAAATCTCAGTGAGGCCACGTAATATATTTGCTTTTGCTGCATCTGTTGCATTTAAAGGCATCTCCAGACACAAATCTGAACAGTATGCTCTTCTCTGAGCAACCAATAGAAAGGTCTGTGTGGCGGAGAGAAGTAAACAGTCTTAGGCAAGACTGAGTTTATAAAGCATGGAGATAGAGAGCAATGAGAACATTACTCCACCCATAACCATGCCCAGGGTAGGGCGCAAAGGGAGT